GTGTGTGTGTGTGTGTGTGTGTGTGTGTGTGTGTGTATTTATGTGTGTGTATGTGTATATAAGTGCCCATATGTACAGATGTGTTGATGAGTGATAATGCTGTTTATTAACTGAGTTTTGTTGTAGCTACGGTGAGCCACCGCCTATATTCATTGTTCTGGACTATACGTTTGTTAAAATAAATAATCATCATGGATAAACGGCTATTTTCGCACATACTCAATTCAAGCTTGTCAATGATACAAACACACAACGAATGTTACATAGATCTCAAAAGCAGACATGCGTACACAGTCTAAATATCCTAGTGCGCAATTAATTCACCACAATGATCTCCACGGTGTATGGACATACCCGAATGTATCGCAACACACGCGGCCTTGTCCACTTTTGCCGTGCTGCCCACCCAGTACCATATATCATAGTCCAGGTCCCCCTTGGTACTCTTCTCGTACGTGTGCAGCAAAATATACGCATCTCCCTGGTAGAAGCCTCCGTACAGGCTCTCATCCGAGGCCAGGGGTGTGAAGTTGTCGATAGCCCAGCACCGCACCCCACACTCTTGGCCCAGTTTAACGGTACTCCCTTCTTCATCGGCAAACAGTGCCGCGCAGTCTATCTGCATACGCTGCCGTCCATCCTCTCGAGTCAATATGGCCAGCTTATCGCTACAGACACGTGCGTCCTTGCTGTTTCCCAAAGCTTTGTTCACAGCACTAGAGGCATTATTACTACTGTTAACGTCTTCCCTGTCTTCGGTAGATGGTAGGTTTGGGTGCGGTATGGGTGTCTGTGCTTTGTGTCCGTTGAGCTTGAGTTGCAGTGCTTTCCCCTTTGAGCCGACTTTATCCGGGACTTGTTTTTCGATAGCACGCTTGCTATCAGTACGTTTCTGTGTGCAAACAACAAATCGTAATATGTAGAATCTACGTATAAACAAACACATGTATGCATGTATATATGGGATAGAATATTGTTGGTATGGTATCTATTATTTGTATGGTATAAATTACATCACAGCTCTATCCGCATCTCACCCTGGACAATGATGTCATGAGCTTCATTGGAATGCAAAGCGCGTACTCACCGTCTGAAGCGTGACAACACACGCGCGTTCTTCCACCACGGCTTCTTCGTCGTCGATTTGATTCGCAGACACGTTGCCCGCTCTACGTACGATGAAGTGGCGTGTTAGATCCCAATGCGCGTGTACATGAAAAATTCATATTGACAATGTATGTGCTATATGCATTGCAGTAGTAGTGCTCACCTACAACCCTAAAACCCTAATGCAGAGGCGTTTTAGAAAGCAATATTATATACAGGTTAAGTATAGTGAATAACCGAGTAGATACTTGGCACTCATCAACACACCAATACAGCCGTTCAAACTCTCTTCACAGGTATCAATACCTTGAGAAGTCCACAAGGTAAAATCGATCCTCGCTCGCCACTTTGCGGGGCATCTTCAGGCCCGAATTGCCGGACACATCCAGTACGTGCAGGTTCTCCCAGACGTCGTAGATGATCACTGGCAAACTCGTGAGGTCTGTACTCTGCAGATGCAGTGCTCGAAGTGCTCTGAAGCTCTCACACGTGACCTCGGATAGAGACCCGAGGGGATTGAAGTCCAGACGGAGTGTGTGTAAATATTGAAGCTGACCTGAGGATTCAAGACGAGGAATAGAGTCAGATATGATTTCGTGATTTCAAACTTACCAGAGAAAGATCGTCTAGCCTACGAAAGAAGTTGGCATGCTACATGTTGATACAGCGCGGCATCACGCTAAATTGATCTAAGAATACACCTCAGAATTTGATTTAAGTGATTAAAGCCCTGAGTTTGCAACTAATACATATAACCAGATCGACGAGCGCTCACCTATAGACTCTGGGAGCATGCTGCCGACAAGAGCATTGTCAGCCAAGAACAGCTTCTGCAAACGTTCGAGACTACCGATGTTGTCGGGCAGTTGCTTGAGCGCATTTGATGACAGGTCCAGAAGACGCAGAAGGGGCCAAACCACAGCTATATGCAAAGGTCGATATGCCGGATGAGACTCACATAAGTTCTGCGGGTGTCTTAAGTTACGCATGCAAAATATGAATTGCTTTCGCGCGCTCGGACACACAATGATCACCTGCACAATTGCTTACATGAGGTCGAAATCGTACACGTATACATGCGCATACAACCTCACATTAAAATAGAGTGACGGTTAAATGCTTCTGTGTGCAAAGTCAGTGGACAGGTGGCATGGAACGAGGGTTTACAAAGTTTCTGCTATTTACCAGACCAAATACGTGTGAACGACAAGTCGATTTCGGACAAAATGAATTAAACCACAGGTACATGGACAAATGTGTAGCCACAGTCACAATTGATCCCCTGAAAAGGCTACTTATAATAATAAGTTGACAGGTTAAAGGAGGCAACGCTATTCTACACCAGGCCAAGTAGCTACAGTATATTGAGTGTGTGCTAATAGAGAAATGATCCATATGTTATCGAATAAACACAAAGCAGTCACAATTGTTTGCTCAAAACTGATACTCATAATGATTTGGCAGGTGGAATGAAGTGACACTGTTATTCACCACACTATGCATTCCCAACATAGTGAGGGTATACAGACCGAAAATAGGGGCTCATACGTTCCCTGATAAACATAAAGTAACAGCCACAATTGATCAATAAACGAGGCCACATACAATCCGTGGGCAGGTGGAACGAAGTGATACTGTTATTCGCCAGGCCGAGGGTTTGCAACCGATCCAGCATGTACAGACATGAGGGTATCGCCGTGAGTGCGTTCTGGGCCAAATCCACTACTTCCAGACTCTCCAACGACTGTAGCTCGGGCATATTCGATACGGTCCTTCCGATGTTGCACATCTCGATGGTTTTGAGCTTTGTTAGCGCACACAGTGTGCGGAGGTTTGCGTATCCGAGTGGGTTGTGGCCAATGTCCAGCGTCACCAGCTGTGTGAGCCGTCTGATTTGCGGGGGGAAGCTCTCTGTGGTATACATGTGTGGAATTAAATGGGTCTATTAAACAAGAACTTCTGGCTGAGTACGATCTGCTTAGTAGTAGTATATGTCAGTTTCCCTCCCAAAGGTGTGGACAGATTCGCATGATGTGCGACCGTTCTTCACGAAGTTATGCATGCATGCTAAAGAATTAATGTCGATAGCCGCCTGCAAAAGACAATCAAACTTCAAAGTGCCTGCTAAACCAACCAGGCAGTAGCAGTATCGCCTACTTACTCTAGAACAAATGATTTGGGTGCGATATAGCACAGTACTGCCAATTAGACTTTAGAACTGTTGAGGGTTTTATATATTCCAGACGATATACACTTCACTCCTCACAACGCTAACACAATCCACACCACCACATGTACCTATGCAGTTGTGGCTCACATTTAATGACTGCAGACACGGGCGATCCATAAATAGATCGGCGGGGAGGGTCTTCAGTTTGTTGTTGCACAAGGAGAGCACTACCAGAGAACGCATACAGTATATGTCAGTGGGTACATGCATCAGAGCATTAAAGCTTAGGTCCAGTATCTTGAGCTCCGGGTTGTCCAGGTGCGAATCGTTGTGGCTCAGATTGTTCCGGCGTGCGATCAGAGACTGTGGGAGATCATAGCATAGTACATTTGATGAATTATATTGAAAGATGAACAATTACAGGATAAATAGTTAACAGTATGCAGAAAGAAACTGATTGAAATGCTTAGAATGAATATACATGTGAATATATATATATATATATATATATATATATATATAATAATAATATATATATATATACTACGTA